TTTGAGTGGCCGACCTTGTTTAGGAGGCATCAAGACTGGAGGGTGAACCAATGCCTGCTTGATAGCATCTAAAGCCGTCTGTTGGTCGGGACCCCATTCAAAGGCAATTTTTCCAGCTTTCAACAATTTAGTAATGGGTCTGACCTTGCCAGCAGCATTAGAAATGAAACGCCTCAAATAATTCACCTTACCCAACAGACTTTGGATTTCTTTAACCGTCTTGGGTGGCCGACTATCAAGAATGGCTTTAGCCTTATTGGCATCAATTTCAATTCCTCTCTCATGAACTAAGAACCCTAGAAAGCTCCCGGCTGATATTCCAAAAGCACATTTGGTTGGATTCATCTTCAACTTGTACTTCTTCATTCTTTCAAATGCCTCTTCAAGATCTCTCAAATGTTCGTCAAAACTGGCAGATTTAACTATCACATCATCAATATACACTTCCATAGATCTGCCAATTAAATCATGAAAGATTGAATTCATGGCTCTTTGGTAAGTTGCCCCTGCATTCTTTAACCCGAATGGCATGACTGTCCATTCATAAATACCCAAAGCCCCTGGGCATCTGAATGCTGTCTTAGGAATGTCTTCTTCTGCCAAGAATATTTGGTTATAACCTGCATAACCATCCATCAGACTAAGGATTTTATGCCCTGCTGCTGCATCTATCAGCATGTCGGCCATAGGCATCACATATTCGTCCTTAGGGGTAGCTAGATTCAAATCCCTGAAGTCGATGCATATCCTTATCTTACCATTTTTCTTGACCACTGGCACAATATTAGCCAGCCACTCCGCATAACGGCAAGGTTGAATGAAACCCACTTTGAGAAGTTTTTGGATTTCTTCCTTGATTTGAGGCATCAGATCTGGACTCATTCGCCTTGGAGGTTGTTTGTAAGGTTTACAACCTTCTTTGATGGGCAATCGATGCTCTATTAGACTTCTTGTCAAACCAGGCATCTCTGAATAATCCCATGCTAAACAATCAATGTTGTTTCTAATAACTTCGAGCATCTTTGTTTGTTGCTCTTTAGACAAATAACCACTTAACCTGATCACTTTTGGAACCAATTCGGTTCCTAAATTAAACTCCAATAATGGGTCTTGTGATGAAGCTGTTGGTTCTGTTTTTTCTAATAAGTCGGGCCAACGAAATTGTTCATCTTCTTGGAGGTGAACATCCAGAATCTCTTTACTATTTTCTGCTTTATGTAATAACTGCTTTAAATAGAACTTATTAATAAGAGAACTACATACTTCTAAGCTTGTATCTTCCATTACAAACAAATTATACGGGAATGGGTGTGGCTTTATCATGAGCCATACAATAAAGGTGTTCTTTTAATAGAACATCGAGTTCTGGCCAGTGACTTTATAACCCTTGTTTGGGTATTCCCTGGCCATATACAATTGAGACATCGGAGCTAAATGACTGGAATAAAACGCTGACTCTTCAACTTGTTCTGATACATCGAATGGGTTGTCATTCGCTTCCATTTTGAAGACCTGATCTCCTTCCCAGAACATTAATTGTTGGTGCAAGGTTGATGGCACACATCGAGAGGCATGAATCCAGTCTCTTCCCAGCAAGAGAGAATATGTAGTATCTGCGTCCACAATAAAGAAAACAGTGGAGATCTTCTTTGGTCCGACTTCAATTGTTGCAACCATCATGCCTTCAGGCTTGGTCGGCTGCCCTGTAAAACTTGTCATTTCGAATTCCACAGGAGACAGATCATGAATTCCTTTCCCTAGCTTCTTGAGAGTCTTCAATGGCATAACGTTAAAGACTGCTCCATTATCCACGAAAACCTTTGTAATTGGTTTCCCACAAATGTGAGCATTAACATACAGAGGTTTCAAATGGGAGATCGCACCCTCTGGAATAGGAGGAAACACAATCGAAGGTGGCTCCGGTTGAGGCTCAGAGTCTGAGGTCTTTGCCCCCTCTGTCTCCTCTAATTCACCATCTGCCAAGAAAGCCCATAAAGGTTCGTCCATAGTTTCATCTACCAGACTCGCCCACGTCGGTTCATCACTCATCTGATTAATCTCTGTCATTCGACAAGGGATTCGTGGTCCCAGACGAGATTTAACAGATCTTGAACTTTCCTCTATAGTTATAACTTCTTCCTTCGTCTTGTTCTGCGGTTGAAGCGTCAAAGATTCTATACGGAAGTCTTCAAGAGATGGATTGATGTTGATTCGTTCACAATGTTGGCATCTAAAACCTTTAATTATTTCATCTGCCACACCTTTACCTTTCCCCAGTCCCGACGAACTTCTTTTGGTATGGTCGGAAGCGCCTAATCCGTCATTCGGTTGCTTTCCTGACCAGACCCGACTGGGCCGACCAACTGGAGACTGAATGGTTACTCCCTGCTCGTTGGTCGTTTGTTCTGTAAAGATCCAAATGGACTGATCTCCTGCCAAGTGGTCGGCTGCTTTTTGTTCGTCGGTTAGTTGTTTTGCTGAAGGACCTCTTTTCCCATACTTTGCAGCATACCTGCGTTTGGCATTACGAATCTGTGTACGATTCATACCCGGGAAACGAGGGTCTATATCAACTGGCAAAGGCTTTTTATTTCGAGCCCAATTGTTCCCGACTGACCCTGTTTTTCTGGTCGGGTGGTCACGAACTAACGCCCTTTCTTTCACCTCCACATTAAAAGAACCGTCTGGATGGTCCCATTTTTCAGCGACTGGTTTCTCACAAACTTTGAGTCGTTCTTCAGGTCGGCTGCTTTTTGGCTGATTTCCTTTCTTTGTTCCGGGGCTTGCCTGAGGTCGTTCCCCTGTTTGTCCATCATTGGCCGAACTTTTCCTTGTTTCCGAACTTGGTTGGATGTCAACCATTGCCGTTGTTACTTTCGGAAACGGTTGCTGGTCTACACCTAGAGTGATGTATTTGAGCCGACCCGTCTTGATGGCCTTTTGAATTTCCTTCCTAAAATGAGTACACTGACTTGTAGTGTGCGTGAAAGAATTATGCCACTTACAATATGGTCTCCCTTTGATTTCTTCTTTAGTGGCAAGTCTTTGGCCCTTTGGAATACGGATCTGCCCATCAGTCAGTAGGATATCAAAGATTTCATCAGCTTTCGAACTATCAAAGGTCGGTTGCTCCTTTCCTTCAGATCCTGGTACTGGCTTCAATTTAGGACATACATACGGTTTTCCAGAAAGGATTTCGGCTGCCATCTCTTCTGACTGATTAAAATCAAAGTCGCATGTTTCTGTTCCCATACTCGCCATATGTTGGCCTCTATTACGCCTGTTATGCTGATCTTCCTCTCTGAACAAAGACTCTAGACGTCCTGCCTTGGATGCAAGACTTGCCAAATCCTCAACATCCAGGGCAGCGAGTGCCTTTCTTAAACGATTATGCATATTCCGGACCACTAAATTGGTCATCTCTTTCTCACTGATTACCGTAGGACATCGTCCCTTCATCAATCGCACCCTTTCTATAAACTGTGAAGCAGTTTCTTCTGGATACTGTCTCAATTCAAGTAAATCAGTTAAAGAAACAACTGGTAAAGGATTAAAGAATCTAGCGTGAAATGCCATCTCCAGTCCTTCCCATGTCTGAATTTGTCCTGGAGGTAAACTTACAAACCACGAAAACGCCGTTCTAGTAAGAGATAAACCAAACAGCTGTAACTTATAAAAAGGGTTATTGCCAACTTCTCCTAATTGTGCTGTGAACCGACCAACATGTTCTATGGTGGAAGATCCGTCCTCCCCTGAGAATGCATGAAAGTCGGGTGGTCGAAAATTCCTTGGGAGAGGGTGTTCATGAATGATCCTTTCTGGGAAAGGTCTTTGATATGCAGGGCGGTTAGCCATCTGAGGAGTTAATCCATACTGATCCCTTAATATATGTGCAATCTCATCAGGATCTACATGAAAGCGTTGATGATCAGGAACCTGGAACGGATCCTGCACAGGAATATGAATCGGATCATGTATATATCCTTCAGGCCTGTCCTCCCTTGTATTGTTCGGCTGCGAATTGGTAACCCTTGGTCCCAGTGGAACATTGTTGGGAAAAGTCAAAGGAGTTTTTCCCCGATCCATTCGGTTGGGATTTGTGGCACTTGGGAATGTACTATCCACGAATGATGGCCCTGCGAAATTTGCCTGTGGTCTGGACGGTGACACTCCTGGTGGCGTTTGAGTGGGTTGAAGACTAACCCTTGACAGTGCTTGATCTATCATGTTCTGCAACTGACTCTGTTGCTCACGCAACATGTTCGTTTGTTGCTCACGCAACATATTCTGCATAACCAAGGTATGCTGGTTGTTCATTTGTTGAACATAAGACCACCAATCAGTTGGTGGTTGTGGGATTTCCCCGGCATTTGGCACAATGGGTGGTGGAACGGATTCTCCCACCGGTGTCGAAGATGCTTGCGGTTGTGAACCTGCCATAACCCTTCCGATGATTCGGCCGGATCTAAGACGTATGAAATTATCGCCGGAATTGGAATGAGCAATTTTGTCTTGCTCTCACTGTGGTCGCCAATTTGTTGATGTAATTTTTCAACAAAAATAAAGTAAAATTCAAAGATATAGAAAATATCCTTAAACTTGATTAATTAGTGCCTGAGATTAGGAATCTCTAAACACTGTATGGTACAGAAACTAAACTGGAAAATAAAAGACTGAAATTTAAAGTGGTGATCCCCAAATCTGACTTTGCTTTGTTGAAGTTGATTGAAGATGCCTTGCCAAATGATGATCCAAACCTTAAATATTCCCTGGGAAACCATACTGAAAACCGTCACCCGAACGGTTACAACGTCTCCTTCTCAACCGTCTTCCAACCTTTCTCATGCTGACACGTGTCCCCAGCAGACCAAAATTTCCTATATTTCACTCCTTGAGCCGACCACAAACCTTCCGCTCTTTTGGCCCGACTTCGTCCTTCGTCCGACCTACTTCTTCGCCCGACCCCACTTGGGCCGACCTCCATATCAACCGCCCCCTGTCTTTGATCAAAGGCTTCCGCGTTTGTCCGACTCCGCCTTCTATCCGACCTACAATTTACCCGACCTGCGGATATCCCATCTCGACGACTTTCCGTCTCGAGGACCTCCCGACTTGAAAACCTTCCGACTCATCGTCTTTCCGTCTTGCGGACCTCCCGACCTGAAAACCTTCCGACTTGAGGTCTTTCCGTCTTGCGGACCTCCCGACCTGAAAACCTTCCGACTTGAGGTCTTTCCATCTTGCGGACCTCCCGACCTGAAGACCTTCCGACTTGAGGTCTTTCCGTCTTGCGGACCTCCCGACCTGAAGACCTTCCGACTTGAGGTCTTTCCGTCTTGCGGACCTCCCGACCTGAAGACCTTCCGACTTGAGGTCTTTCCATCTTGAGGGCCTCCCGACCTGAAGACCTTCCGACCTGAGGTCTTTCCGTCCTGAGGACCTACCGACCTGAGGTCCTTCCGTCCTGAGGACCTACCGACCTGAGAACCTTCCGTCCTGAGGACCTACCGACCTAAGAACCTTCCGTCCTGAGGTCTTTCCGTCCTGAGGACCTACCGACCTAAGAACCTTCCGACCTGTATTTTCCTTAGAAATAAATAAATAAATTTATTTTCCTTGATTTCCTCACGGTGTCCTTCAGCCAGTTCAATCAACCCTATTGCCAGGCCCATTCTTCTTTTTACCTTGGGCTTTTAACCTAATTCTAAATTTCGTACGTAACATTTCTCATACCTCCCTAAAGAAACACATTCGTAAGTAATATAAAAATAACAAGTATGTATAATTTATTAATTTGTTTTTTTAGAAATATATTTTGTTTTGTTACCAATAAACTGTGCTTTTTTTTTTTTTATTATTCTTTACTATGTATATGTATGATATTTTTTACTATCTTGAAAATAAGAAAACAGTAAAAAGACAACCAGACACATATATGATGGAAGTTTGACTTTATATTGTTACTACATGTTAACTAAATTTAGACATGATGTGACCGAAAGAACTCCCCAAAATGTGCTTTTTTTAAAAATAAAAATAAAAATAAAAATAATAATAATATAATAGTTATTGTAAGGGAAAATAATAATAATAATAATAATCACGGGTTAAATAGAGTAATTGCCACCATTATCCGCAAAGCATATGGAAAAAATGATTACTGAATATTGATTTCTTTAAATGATTAGGAGTGTCTTTATTTTTTATTTCAAACTACAAATAACCCTATTCTGTTTAGATAGTTTTTAATAATAACATATTCACATTAAAAATATTATTTAAATCAAAATTTAGATAAAAATTTAAATTTTGAATCAAAGCCAAACAAATCCTAGTTAAGTTGTACATTAATTATTTATTAGGGGTGTGTGTTCACATTATATTACCATAACAAAATATCATATTACAATATATTTGAATTAAAATTTAAAATAAAACACAAAATTAACATAGTTATACTTTTGTCTAGGATGTCAAATGGGGCGGGTTAGCCCCGGACCCGTCCCGGATCTGGTCTTAATGGGACAGGTTCGGGTTTAAAAAATTTGGTTCGGGACGGGTTGTAAATTTTGAGTTTTAGACCCGGCCGGGTTCGGGGCGGGTTACGGGTTTTATTATAAACCCGCCGCATTCCAGACCTGGACTCGAACCCGGATATTTAATAATTATTATAATTTATTTATATTTTTATACAATATAAATTATATTATTTTTTTATTTAAAAAAATTTAAATATAAAATAGAAATTTAATTTTAAATTAAATTTATCTTCGCATTTATTTCTCCTACAATTCTCTTTATAATTGCTACTACAATTTTAACCCCGAACCCTCCGGGTTTAGGGCGGGACGGGTCCTGCGGCCGGATTGAAGTGGAGCAAGGCGGGTCTTAGGTCCAAATATTTTCTAACGGGCGGGTCCCAGGGCCTGCAAAACCCGTCCCGAACTTGCCCGTTGACATCCTACTTTTGTCCGAGTATGTATGTAGTTTATCTCACACACATATGTAGCTCTTCATTAAGTAATAAACCATAAATTTGTCACATGTGAAAATATTCCATTAATCACATAACTCTGCTTAATTATCTAACAAAATGCTCCATCCGTCCTACATTGTATGTCTAGATTACCGTAGATATAAAAATTTAGGATAAGTATAATTAGTAGATAATTAAGAACGTACTAGTAAAAATAATTATTCTGCAAGATTAATAATTATACATTAAGATTAAAATAATTAATTAATTTAATTAAAATTTTAAAAATTAGAAACGACAATTTGGACATAATAGGTGGACGGATGGAGTAATATTTTATTCTATTATCACATAAATGCAAAAGACTTGTTTAGATAATGACTTTTAAAATTCTTGACATTATCCACCAATAATATTTTTTTATTAAAAAATTACACTATTAAAGATTTGTTTTCTATATAAAATATTTAGTCAAATAATTATTTACATCACAACAAATTTATTTTTATAAATTCTTTAATATTCCAAAATTTTTATTTAAATAGAGTTTTAAAATGCTACTTCCTTCATCCCACATATCATGTCACACTTTCTATTTTTCTTCGTCTTAAATGTCATGTCATTTTTTTTTTATTGAAAAGAATTATACACTTTAATTGCATTTTAAATTTTATAATTTATATATTTTTTTTATTTTGATTATACTAATAAGTTATCTTAATCTTAATTTATGATTATTTTTATTATATTATAATTATTTTTACTAATACATTTTTAATTATGTACTATTATACTCCTCCTAAACTCTCGTGTCTACCGTAACTATGACATGATATCCAGGACAGAGGGAATAATATTTAAATGATAAAGAAACCCTCTTGATTTAAACAATTTTGTTTAACCAAAATGGATGAAGTTTAATGTTGAAAACTCTTTGCAAGATTTAAGAAGCAACTCACCTAACACCAATTCAATCAAAATGAGATGATCAAGTCCCGTAATTGATAGTCTGATGATGTGGAAATAAACTTGTGACCGTGAATTCAAATTTTTGACGCATTTAGGTCTTGCCTTCCAATATTGCACGATAAAATATAATATATTGAATTATTACTTTCATTTTGTATATTATTATTATTATTATTATTCCACAAATATATTTTTTGTAAATCTCAATCGAACCATCTTAATTGCTTTAATTTTCAAATCACACGAAAAATAATTATACTCCCTATGTCCTATTGAAAGGTTGTTATTTTCTATTTTCGTCCGTCCTAAAACAAGGTTACAATTTTCTAATTTAGTAATTTTACTACATACCTAATGTAATAAATACCCTTTCAACTTACATTATATTATATAAATACCATTACTTTTATATTACACAATACTAATAGGGGTATTTTCGTCTTTTTCACTATAATCCATTTATAATACTAATTTTTAAAATTTTACGTGCAAAAAATAAACGGCAACTTTGCACCGGGACAGAGGGAGTAATCAAAATTGCAAATATCCGAAAAATAAATAAGATCAAAAATTCCCATCAGTAAATAAGAGAGACTCGATTAGGAATGTTGGTGTCGATTAAGGTGGATTGGGAAGACAAGAAATGAGACATTAAAAATTGTTTTGGGGAGGATTAGGTGGTCGAATTGGGGGCCAAAAGTGTAGGGAAAAGTAGGGTTTGTCCAAAGCTAGGGTGGAATGTGGGGATGTGCTAAAAGCACCGGCAAACCATATTGCCATGTTTTTGTAATCATTTTTAATTAATTATCAGACAAAAGCCTAATTAGCTAATTAATTAATCAAACCAGCAGGTGGCTCTATTTTTATATTTATATCTTATAATCATTATATTAATTGTTTTTATCCAAACCATTTAAGTTTGGCTAATTAATTATTATAACATTAGTAACACTAAATACTTCTCGACCAAAAAATATCATGTAAAAAATTATCGTAAAAATATGCCAAGAATGACGACTTACACACCATTATAAATTATCCACTACAAAAAAAAATAGTATATTTGTAACGGAATTTCGTTCCTAAATTTTACGTAGATAACGTAATTCCATCTCTAATTCCGTCTCTAATATCATTAGTAACGAAAAAAGTGAATTTAGGAACATTTGTTCATTTTTTTTTTCATGGTCGAATTCAACTTATAGGAAATATAATTCTCTTTTTTTCTCATAGGATATTTAATTTTAATTTTTTGTACTAATGAGTTGAATTAATATCAAATTAGTGATTTCGGATTTATAAATCATAATTAAGAATGAACAACAAAAATTATACAAAAATAATTATATGGGTAATATTGTAAATGTATAATTGAATTTGTTGCGTGTAAGTTTGCTACAACCGAGTAAATATATCAAAATATTTGTAAATATAAATAGGTATTATCGTAATATTTTTAAATAAAGAATTAGTTATTGAAGATATTGTTTATTAAAAGAATAATAAAAAAGAAATATAATATTTTATAGAAATAAATATTATAGATTATATATAGTATGAAACCAAATAAATATTTAATATTATACTTATATTTTTCTTTTTAGTTTGGATATATGTTTGAGTTGTTTATTAAAATAAAATTTGATATGATATTTTATAAAAAAAATAATAATTATAATTAATATAAAGTCCAAATAATAAATTTAAATTTAAATTTATATTTATATTTAAACTCAAAGGAAATACACTCTTTGACATTCCTTCTAATTTTATCAAATATTTTTATTTGTTTATATATTTGATATTATTTCAGTAGATATTTAATTATATTTCATTATTAATGATACAATAAAAATGACTGTAATGTATTTATTTTTCAAACAACTTTTGTTTTTTGTGACGCAATTATGATATTTATGACTATAAGAAATTATTAAATAATTATGAGATAACATATTACATGGGTGTGTTCTTTGGGGGGATTTCTCCGTATTTATATTATTCGTCTAATCTTTTTTCTCCAAAAATATCAAATCAAATACCTATTTTTTATTTTTTATATTATATTAAAAATTAATTTTACATTCAAAACATCAGATCAAAACCTATTTATATCATATTATACAACTATTTTAATTCAAAAATTTTACTATTCAAATCTCAATTCATAATTCAAACACCCAGAAAAGCACACCGTATAAATCAACATATTATTAGAATCCACAATTTTAGAAATATTATAACACAAATAATTTTTTCAATATATAATTATATATTATTATGATAATAATACTCCAAATATATTAATATTATAACAAAATCATTCTTAGATGATTTCAAGCATATTACTATATAATGTGTAATATATTACAACTATTAAATATAATCTACTCCTTTCAATACAAAATATATATATATATGTATATGTCCATAAATTTGAGTATAACATATGCGTGCATATATATACAAAGAAAATGTCATAAATTTGACCGACGAAAAAAGTATAAATATTAGTCAATGTATAATTACATTGAAGAATAATAAAATGTATTATAAAAATTTGATTAAGATAATTTAATTCACGATCACATAGACAAGATCGAGTTAATATTCACACAGGATGAACGGTTTATACAAATTTAGGCTTCAAAATAAAATGTATCATATGAACCTTAAAGAGAAGAAAATAAATGGAATTAATTCATGTAATTTGTAGTAAAATTGTGAAAATTAATATGAAATTGCAAAATTAGGTAAATGAAATATTTGATTAGTGTATTTCAATTAGGGGCAAAATAGTCATTTCACTTTGAGAGAGAGTTTGCTGTTGCAGTATATATATATATGTGCCTAGGTCGCCATTATTATATTGTAGAATGTATAGATGACAACAAATTGTGAAGGCATGGGAGACCGTCAAGCAGCTGAGGCAAACTCCAAGTTCGGCAACAACGGAGAGCCGCCGGTGAAGTCGCGGTGGACGCCGAAGCCGGAGCAGATCCTCATCCTCGAGTCGATCTTCAACAGCGGGATGGTCAATCCGCCCAAGGACGAAACCGCCCGTATCCGGAAGCTTCTCGAACAGTTCGGCGCCCTCGGCGACGCCAACGTCTTCTACTGGTTCCAGAACCGCCGATCCAGGTCTCGACGCCGCCAGAGACAAATCCAGGCCACTCTCAACAATATCGCCGCCGGTGGCGTTGGAGAGATGAATCCGCAGCAATATCAGCTTCCGCCGCCGGCGCCGGGAGGGAATGTTATTGATTTCGATCAGAATTACGCGGCGGCGGGAGGTTTTCAGGAGAATTCATTGTGGAATTTCCCACTCCCGACGAGCGGGATGAATACTGCAGGCCTGGTAGGTTCATCTTCTTCCTCCGCCGGCGGATTTGGGGGAAATTCCTCCGACGAGTTCTTCTCATTTTCCGGCGATGCTCATCCCGACCTCCAGCTGCAGTACGATCTCAACTCCGATCTCTGCCTCACCGATGCATCCACTTTCCAAAATTACCAACCTGCAGGTGAGAAATTCGTCACTTCAATTCTGTTTTTCCATCAAATTCCCTCCCCAAATTTTCTGAATTTTCAAAATTAGGGTTAGCTACACAAACCCTAATTCCTATTTCCTAATTCCTCATCCTCCAATAATTCAAATTCATCGCTATTCTACAACAACTAATTACCAATCTTCAATTCTCACATATATATATATATACATACATATCCAATTTGCTGTTGTTTCAGAGGTGATGACAGTGTTCATCAATGGAGTGGGGACGGAGGTGGTGAGGGGAGCTCCGGTGGACCTTAAGGCCATGTTTGGTGGAGATTTTGTACTGTTCCATTCGTCAGGAGCGCCAGCAGAGGTGAACGAATACGGATATGCGGTGCATCTGGAGCATGGAGAAAGCTATTTTCTGGTAATTATATATATAATTAATTAATCATCAATTAATTAATACTATTTTATACCAAAATTTCAGCATTTAAATCATTAATTTAATCAGTTTTGCATTGGGAATCTGCATGTCTGAAAATATCCAGATTTTACTAGTCGTTATATTTGCACTGAATTCCACTGTCTTCCTCGTCACTTTCTGCTCTCTTTTTTTAAGCTGTAAAAATCATTTAGAGCTATTTGAATTTTAGAAATGATTAAAAAATCAAACACACACATACATAGAAAATGTGTGTGTTTACACGTTTAGATATACCTATAAATATGCATATATTATTGGTTTTGTCAGTAGGATTTGTAATTCCGAAGAGATGAATTGGAAGAATAAAATTGAAATCCTTTTGTTCATAATCAAATAACAAATTAAAGACACATACAGATATATATATATATGTATATGTATGCAGAATTATTATTCTTTGTATTATCAGTAGGGTTTTTGGTTTAGAAAAATTTCAAAATTTGTTCAATTTATGTTCATATTTGGTTCTTGCAATTTAATTATGGTGAAGATATCTTATATGTTTTTACTATCACAATACATCCACTTTCTCTGTTGTATTAATTTTTCTGATTTGTGTATATATATTTATTCCTCTCTCTCTCTATACATACATTTATGTATATATTCAGGTGCCAAAATGTTCTTCAATTTGAGTTGAGGAAGTGATGTATGGGGCAGTGGAAGTATCTGCATATCTGTTGAGAGACATTTTAATAAAAAATCGTCAGGTATTCCTATCAGAATAATATATTTATATATATATTTAATTTGTTATGGTCATCCCGGGATTTCTTGTTTCGATATTGTTGTTTTGTTCCATGCTTTGCTAAAAGATGATTATTAATGTTATATATAAATGCTGATGAAATATATATATATATGTATGTATATTTGTATTGAATATGGTAATGAGAATCGTATTGCATATTTCTGTTTATTGTCCTTTGTCTACTTCAAAATTCAATACCAAAGTTTGTATCTACTGTCTTCCTATCAATATATATATATATATATATATATAAACACTATCAAGTAGTTCTAATCTTTCTTCCTCTTTTTTATGTTATTTTCTAATCCCTTGCAAAATTGTAACATAAATTTATTCACATATACCAAATTGAAAATCAATTAATAACCGTGACTTTTTTTTACAAAATACTATATAAAATTATTCATCAAATATTTTTTAGATACAAGGTCACTACCAATTTTTTTGGTAGTGTCAAGCCGAAAATAAACACTCATCAATTTTTTTTATTATATAAATATCATATTTAACAATTATTTTTATTTTGAAATTTTTTGGAATTTAGATAAATATTGTTGTGAGATGAAATAAATATTTTTATTATGATATTAAAGTAACGGGTGGAGCAAAGTAGAGATGAATTTTATTTATTTCAATTTCAATCTCAACAAAGTTAAAATATAAACACATTAATGCATCATTAAACATATGGTTCTAAAAGTAAATTTACAACCAGGAAATTTAAATATGTCATTTTAAATTAAGTTAATAATTAGGCAACTAATAATAACTATAATTAAAGCCGAAAACTTTGGGAGTATCACGTTTAATATAATAATTATTATTATTATTATTATATACAATATATAAGTAATTAACCAATGGGTGTGGATGCTGGATCTTTACTTTTAATCACTAATTATTTAATTTGGCATCCAATAAATATATATATATAATAAAATAAATCTGATTGCTATATATTATTATAATCTATTTAATAAATATTATTGCATTATATTTGTGTGTATTAATGTAGTGTCTTTTATGATCATCTTTGAAGGTGACAAGGTACCAGAATCCCTTGTCTCCCTACAACATTATGAAATAAAAATAAAAATATCTTATACTACATATATAATTATTATAAAATGTAATTGATTGAAATTTAAAGATTTAGGGTTGCTGAATTATATAAATAAGATATAAGTTGATGACAAACGAGTGTATTATCCTACACTACGTCAAAAAATCACTTTTGTAACAAAATTTTTTTTGTCTCTAAATCTATTTTTTTTTCGTTACTAATGATATTAGAGACGGAATTAATAATAGAATTACATTAGCTACGTGAACTTTATGGACGAAATTCCGTTACAAATATATTATTTTTTTGTAGTGCTATTGCTCCATCGGTATATATATATATATATTCATTTTATTATTTTAAGTTATTCATAATCAATGTATCAAATTTTAAATTTAGTAAATATAATTTTTTTCAAAACAAACATGCAATTAACTACAATTATATCACTTTATAATATCGACTATAGTTTTGAATACATTTAGTCGATATACTGAATATTTTTAACCTAAATGAATGCATAGCTAAGATTTCAAATGAAGAAAATATCAAATATATTTAATACTACATTCTTGATTTGACAAATTTCAATGTTTGAAGATTTTTAAAAATATCAAATTTTGTTAGTCGAGACTCATCCGTCTATTCTTTAGAGGTCGGTTGTTTACCTTTTAATTGATTACTATAATAAGTTCACAACGACTTACATTCGATGTCGAGTGAAATGGTACTTTTCGATATTTGTTAAAATACATTGTGTTGTAATGATTTCAAATATATCAAATAAATTGGATGAAGCTGAGTGCTTATTATTATAATTAATTGTTAATTGATTAAGTCATCGAAACATATTTACTATTTATATGTTTTAATTAAATTTAGCTAATTAACATATATGGATTCCATTAATTCTTTTAGATTAATAATTACAATTTCTGTTGGGGTGCAAATCCAAGTCCCACATCGAAAATTGCGAAGAAAATTCGACACCTTATAAGTCCCAAGTGAACTCTACTAGTATGAGGCCTTTTGGAGGATATCCAAAAACAAATCCGTGCGGTTGTGACGAAGTGTTTGGTAAATTAACTTATTGATATTAGCTGTTTACATGTGAAATGACAGTTAAGGGTATTTTTATATTTTATTTTGTAATTATTATTTATATGTATTGTGTTACATATTGCTTAAATTATGATTTTACTAAACTTATAATTCCAAATTATTTTATTTTATTATATTTTATTTGTTTTCAACATAAAATTTACGTGCTAAAAATATATAAAAATAAATTTATATATTTTACAATAAATGATTTTATGCGTAAAATTAAATAACTTTAATTTCTTTAAATTCCAAAACTTAAAATTATAATTTAACAAAAATAATTACTAAATACTTCAAAAAAAAAAAAGAACACCGAAACATAATAAAATGAGAGTCACATAATATATGCATATTTAAAATATGCATAATGTAGTAAAAGTCATCCAAACTAAAATTCAAAATATAACACAACCTAAAATTGTCTGCGTCGCTTATTTGGTTGAGTTGATATAAGACCATAAGCTATATTGTCTCGAATTCTAGACATTTGTTTGGAGGTAGAACTTCCAACATTTTCATGCTCGAAAATAGCTTCAAGATCAAACTCATTGCGAATATCCAACGGGACAAAATTAGGATCATCATCCATAAATTTAAATGCAGGATCAACAATCTTGCTCAACCTGATATAGTTATGCAAAGTAAAAGCTGTACAGATGATTAAATTTTGTACTTCCACCGAATATTTTGGCATTGCTTTGAGTATTTTCCATCGAGCCTTGAGAACTCCAAAAGCCCTTTCAATAGAACTCCTTAACGATGAATGATAATAATTGAAGGTTTCTCGATATCCCCTTGGACCATTGCCACGAAAATCCGATTGATGGTACCTTATCTTCGAATATGGTGTCAAAAAACCATCTCTCTCTGGATAACCTTTGTCTGCTAAATAAAATTTTTCTAGAAATGCAACAAAATTATTGTGTAATAAAACAACTGTTTCTAAATAAACAAGCAGAAATAATGTGAAATTAAAAAGGAAAAAAAAAATACCTAGCGGGGGTTTTGGAAAATTTATTTTAGGATCATTGATTGTGTCTAGAAATATCCGTGCATCATGTGTGGACCCCTCCCATCCAGTCAAAACATAAGTAAACAGTAAGTCAAAATCACATACGGTAAGAACATTCATAGTTGGTGATCCTTTTCACTCCTATATCATAGTTGTATTTCTTCGGGAACAACTACAGTGATATGTGTGCCGTCAATAGCTCCGATACAATCCTAATGATATATGCAAAATTTGCAAATGAAATTGAAGAATATATATAAATATATAATTTTGAAAGAGAAATTAAAAAAAAAAATATTACAAATACCTTGAAATGTGGCATGTATCGAGGATTGTTAATGATATATGATGGTATTTCCCGGAATTCAAAATCTCTTGGCTTCAATATATCTCTCGAAAGACCACCAATAGCATTCAAAACTTCTTTAAAGATTCGACTCACAGTTTCTCCAGAATGTTGAAATCGCTCTTGCATATCTCTATTCGAAGCACCTTTACTAAGTACAAAAACAAATATTCCAACTTTTTCCAAAATTGACATTTTGTATGAAGCTCTTAATCCATACTTATTTTCTAAATCAAAGCATAATTTTCGAAAAGTATTTTGATTCATTCTAAAAGTATTAAAACATCTTTTTTCATGTCCACTAAGCAATTCGTTTACCCATCTTTCACCGGTGAAGTACGAAGTGAAACATGGCTCTTTACATAAATAAGTAATATAGTAATTCATAAGACAACCAATTGCACATGCAATAATATCCCAATAATTATTCTCAACTTCTATTATTTGAAAAAGTTGTAGACAAAACTCTTTGTCTTGCAAGAGTCGTCTATATAATTCTATCAAACCACTGTGGCTCATATCTGCAAGCATAAATGAACAATAATGTGTAATAGTATAAATAAAAAAAAATACAGAGAATACTAAAGGATATAAACAATTTATAATAAATAAATGAACTTAAAAAAATTAATTATCAAACATAAACAATCAAAATTCAGTAACACAAAGTAAAAATAAAAATAAAAAACCTAGGGAATCACACCTCAAATAGCAAATCTCAACAATTCACAAAAAAAATAAAAAAAAATAAAAAATGCAAAGATATTACTATTCGTTCTTTCGCTCACTATACATGAACTTAATCCATCCAAAAATTCCCATATTATTTGGCAAATTAGCTAAAATTAGCCGCTTTTGTGGGTCTTCAATCATTGTCACAGCAAAGCTAAATTCCGGACTGCCAGGTACTAATTCTTCTAAAGTACACAACTTTGCTAAAGCATCTGTAACAATGATAGCTTCTTTATCCTTAGAAGATGAGGATGTAGGGACATTCATAGCGCTCAATGATTGAATAAAAGAAGTCATCGAGTCATTTCTAGTTGCAATTGACTGAAGAATTTGGTCAAGCTTTTCATTGATGAACTCTTTTCCTCTTGTTTTCTTAGTTAAATTAGTTCTTGCAATCTTTTCATTTCCAATGTCACTGTTTTCAAGGCTCCGCTTTCCTTTGATTTTCGCACGGTCAGTACTTGTAAGACCATTGAAAGTAGAGGTATGTTCTTTCCAAATATCATTCCACGCACAATCAATAGGATTGTTGTAACTAGTACCATCATATATAGAATCATCATGATGGTCATATGACAAATCTACATGTGGTGTATCACCAAATATTGAGTCATCAACATTAATAATACGTGGTGAAGAAGAGATATGAGTTCTTTCTTCATTATCTTGTGAGCAATAATACCCAGGGGTGTATTTATGTTCTCCCGTTGCCAATAAATGAGCAAAAAGTGAATCCATTTTAGACTCTAGCTCGGGCTCTATCCCTTCTTCTCGAAAACTTTTAAAATTGTTATTTTCCTAAAATAATATATATATAAGGTATATACGACTTTAGAAAATATAATAAAATAAAAATATGTCAAAATAAAATTCTAACCTGAATTTTAGCATCCCACC